GGGTTTTACTACTGTTATCTGTTAAATGCTCTACATTACTTAAGTAAATGGACAGATCAATTGTATGGCTATAAATAATACCTGCTTTAAAAACACATATAAAATGACTTACTACTTCATTCTATATATATATATACAAAGTTTTTTATTTTTATAAACTTAAAACTATGGTGCTCCTTTTCATTGGAAATAATAAAGAATGATGATTTTTTCCCATTCTGTAAGTACACTGAATATGACATTTGTAAGAAGTCATTTCCCTTTGTCCCTGGTATTTCTCCATTGCAGTGTTTCTCAGAGGATGGTGGGACAACTACACTGTCCGTCTCAGAACTGCCCAGCACCTTCCTAAAAATGCAGTTCTCAGCCCTGCAGCCACTGATGCAAAATCTCTAAGGGAGGGACTCTGGGGTTCTAAGATGACTCTTACGAAGCTGTGGCCTGAAAACCATTTTTCTATGGTCATTATCCTCACAGTAAAACCGCAAAGTGTTAAGTGGATTTAAGAATCATTTTTAATTTTCAAATTGTACAAACTGCATTTCAAAATATAGGGGTAAAGCACCATCATAAATCAAGGGGAAAAAAATGTGTGTTTACAGCAATCTCAATCTTGTATTATATATCCTTTTAGTAAAGTGGAATACCATGTTAAGAGTATATAATAATGTAGAACAGAATGCTGTACTTAAGAATTTTAAACCAAAACCAAAGTATATTAATTACTCACGGAGTTTTACAGTCTAGTGGCATAAAAGCTAATATAAAGGTGAGTTAATAATATGCCTTGAAATTGCGTGTGTAAAAGAATTTAAATTTTAAGCACTTAAAAAGACATCAGTCTTCATGTATCAGAGCATAGGAATATTAATCAGGTAAAAAAAAAACAAGAAAAACAAAAAAACCACCAATGCCTCATTTGAAAGCCAGACTCCAATGAATTAGACCTAAAACCTCCTATTAGCAAAATACCTATGTGTTACTCTGTAACCAAAATATCAAAAAGCAAAAATCCTAAAAGAACAAAGTTAGTAGCACCATTAAATGGAACAAATTAATATTCCTGCCCAAGAGTAAATAAATTAAATCTAATGAGGAAACATCAAACAAACCCAAATTGAGGGACTTTTGACAAAATAACTGTCTTGTGCTTTTGAAAATGTCAGTCATGAAACATGAAGAAAAACCAAGAGGGGCTGGCCAAGTGGCTTAGTTGGTTAAGAGTTGGCTTAAGAGTGGGAGCTCTAAGCAACAGGGTCACCGGTTCGATTCCCACATGGACCAGTGACGCTGCACCTGAGCTGAGCTGCCACTGAGCTGCCAGCAGGTGGCAGGGTGGCTCAGCTGGTGAGAGTGCGTGCTCCTAACAACAAGACTGCCTGTTCAATGGTGGGCTATGCCCGCCCACAACTAAGACTGAACTCGGCACCTTGAGCTGAGCTGCCACCCAGATGGCCCAGTAGCTACATCGTGCGCTCTTAACAACAAGGCTGCCGGTTTGACTCCGCATGGGATGGTGGCTACGCCCACCCAAAACTAAGATTGTAACATAGCACCTTGAGCTTAGAGGCCACTAGCTGCCGACAGGCAACCAGATGGTAACTGCCGCCCTCCACAACTAAGACTGAAGAACAACTTGGCTGGTCCCTCTCCCTAATTCCCCAACACTGTTACCCTCCCCCAATTCCCCAATTTAAAAAAAAAGAGAGAAAAAAACAACAAAAACCAAGGAACTGCGCCAAACTAAGAGATGGCAACTTAAATTCAATGCCTGATCCTGGATTGGATCTGGATGAGAACATACACAGTCATAACATCATGCTGATGAGATCTGAATAAAGTCTGTGGTTTAGACAAAGGTATTCTATCAACATTAATTTCCTGATTTTGATCATTGCACTGTGGCTATGTCAGAGAATGGCCTTCTTCTTAGGAAATAAACACAAGTAATTAGGGGTTAATGTTTTCAACTTCTCTCAAATGGTTCACAAAATACTATAAATATATATGGAGAAAAAACTACAGAAAATGGAACAAAATATTAACAGGTGGGGAACATGTGAAAGCTTTTTAGATTTTTGCTACTTTCCTGTAAGTTTAAAATTATTTCAAATCAAAAGTGACAAAAATATTTTAAAAAGCTTTAACAGGAACACTAAAAAAAAAAAAAAAATCTAAAAATTTTAGAATATATTTTTAAACTTCATATCTAGAAGACTTAGTTATGTCTATTTAAGATGTTTTGTAAATTTAGACTAAAAATATGAACAAATAGAATTTTCAATTCTATTTAATGCTTTCATACCAAAAATTACAAAATCTATGTTGTTCTTATTTTTATTCTATCAATTATATGTATACTCCAGATCTATCTATCTATCTATCTATCTATCTATCTATCTATCTATCTATCTATCTATCTATCTATAGGTTAAAGGAAAATACTCCTATTTTACACATCCATTTGAAAAATATTTAAAATTTTGCTTTTTAGAGTTAATTTTTCCTTAAATGTTGCCTTAATGGTTTGGTTTGTTTTATCAGTTTCACATCAGTGATTGTTTTTAGTCTGTTTGAAAGTTTTAAACCACAATGTTATCTATTTAGTGGTGCTCTGATACACTTCACTTACACATAGGAGTATATAAGTAACAAAGAACCCTGCCATGTTAGATTACCAATGCAGTATACTTTGTTAAAGCACAGATAATTATTTTGCAATGTGATTTCCTAACCAACTTAACCTAGTAACTATGTCAAAGGTTTAGGGTGGAGAGAGATATGACAGGAGGAAGATGGTAATTCCTTAAAACAGTACTTGGCATACAGTAGGCACAAAATAAATATTTGTGGTGGGAAAAAGGGATTATTACATAAGTCCATATCAGTTGCAATATATCATCAGGAACCACTGGACAGTGACATAAGTCAGATGCTTAAAAATCTAAAGATGCAAAAATAATGCTTCTGAGAATTTACAGTTGTCAAATAAGAAAAGCTTTTGGTGAAAATGTCCCTTTTATACGTATTTTACCATGCTGTTTTTATTAAGCTATACCTGTTAAAGATGTTGCCATATTACTATCAAATTAAGGCCATACAAAGTAAACGATGCGTACTGTACATATTGCATAGTATATCAAGCGATAAAGCTATAAAGAACTTGAAGCCAGAATTTGAAGGAATGTCACCAAATCCCATTGAACGTTGCTAGTACAAAACTTTCTTGCTGTATGTTTTGCAAAAGCTCAAGTCTGCAGCATTGAATTTAAGCTCTATTTGATTCATGCCCTGACTTATCTACTGAAAGGAAAAGTATGGTGACTTAAGGAAAAATCCAAAGATACAGGAAACAAGTCCAAGGGACTTTCAAATACTTTCTCTTCTTAAAACAAAAGTACCATTTAAAGCACTTTATTTTCTACACAAAGAACGGTTTAGAATTAGCTGCAATGGGCGATACGGAAGACAAACTAAACCTAACATTATGTGTACTTGAGTATATTAATATAGGTCACTGAATAGTTTGATGCATTTTCATTTTTATTAAAGGTAAGCACAATTCCTACTTCAAGATATTCCACAACTTAGGGACGGGGAAAGAGTACTACAGCTGCTTGAAGGAAATACAAGTTGAATTAATTAAAATTTTAGGAAAAGGATTTGAAATATTTTCCATAAGATAGGCATCTAACAAGATAAATACGTGAACTTTTTATATCATGGTACCAAAGATAAAAATTCCCTAACAATGTCTTCCATATAAAAATTCAAGATGAAAACAGATCAAGCAAGCCATGTAAGCAGAGAATGAACATCAGCCTTTTGAGAATTAGTAACCAAATACATACTGCTCATTGTAACATTCAACTGCAGAGGAAATATTGAAATGTAATGTAATCAAAGAAATAGCACCTTTAAAAAGTCAAGTTATCTAAAATGAAAGTTTGCCAAACTATTCTCTGAACTACAAATCTCCACCTGAAATAATTTGAAAAGGTAGTAACAAAATTCTGAAGTGTAATGTTACACATTGATGTAAATACAAACAATACAGAACATTTAAAGCCAACTTTACACCTGCATATCTACAGTAAGCAAAAGTTCCTTTTCTTTCAAAGTCACATATTTAGTATTCTCTCTAAATTGGGTCAGTAAAGCAGCATACCTTAACATAAGAGGAAAAATGTAAAGGACGTGCTTAAGAATTTAAGCAGTATTAAAGTTTATCTTTCAGAGTGTCTTTCTATCAAACACATAGACAGGAATTTTATTATAAGACTTTTGCTATTCAATGGAATTCAGACTAAAATGAGTCTGTTTCAGATCATACCCAAAACTTCTTGTTATCTCAGTGCCACAAAGGGATTGTTATCACATGCTTTTTGCTAGATGATTCCATGGTATGGAGCAGCCTTTCTCTGCCAGAATTCTGAGTATAACATTAGGACCAGACCCAATGTTACTATTTTTTCCCAAGGGAGGCAAAATATATACTTATATTCTTTCTAATCCCTTAAAATCTTTAACAGTTGAAAAGGTTGTCCTTGAGTGGTTAATTCAAATAAAAATAAATTAGCTTAGCCTAGATATATATTCAAAAGAATATATAGCCTAGATATATATTCAAAAAATATTGTTTCAATTGTGACATCTCCTTGAATATTTTTTAATATGGCTACTTTATCTACATCAAAAGGCATACCACAGTAAATCACATCCATGCTTCCAAAAAGTGTTACTCAAAAATGCTGCCTTATAACTTGTAAGAAATCAATCGTGGGTTCAGGAAATATCAATATGTTATTAACAAATTATAACTCTGTATTTACTTTCATTTATAAATATCACTGGCAGGTATCATAATATTAAATCATTAAGCTAATTTCTAAATATTGACTTAAAAAGCTTTGAGCATATGTTGCAAAAAAAACTAGTAAAACTAAAAAAGAAAAAAACTAACCAAAGGCTTTTTTGCAGGTAATAGACTGATTATTTTCTTAATGATTATCACCTACCCAGGAGTTGGTAAATAGTTGCATAGTTCTTATAGAAAACAGACCTGGCACAATGTGAAGACAAATATTGGCAAATACCACGTGTCTCAAGTTATTTTTGAAGAAATAATACAATCTGTAACATTTCATGAAGTTGTTTATTCTTGTTATTAAAACTTGGACTCAAGTAATCCTGGTTATTCTGGAAAAAGCACCGTTTGTAGGGATCATTTAATCATCCTTTTCTACAATCACCTCTCCATGAAGCACCTTTCTTCTTTGACGTAACATGTGAAAATAGAGTTGTGGAAACACTGAATTGAAAAAAGAAAACAAAGAAAGATATGCTATTGTTGGAAATTATTTACCCTTGAAACCTCTTCAACATAGCAAAATTTGAGAGCCAGTACCTCAGATACCACTGCTATCCCCAATATTACAGAGCTCAGTGTAAGAGTACAAATAGAGGCCCACATACCATCTGCCGAAATATTGTAAGGCCATAAGCTGTGGGGGTTTTGAGCAAACTTTAATACACTGATAAATACAGCTTCCCAATGACCTGGGAGGTCCTATTTGAATTTAGTATCCCATCACACCTCGCAATACTGTGCCAGACTTTCCAGCACAAGGAAGCTGCCCACCTGGTCCGCTTCTCTCCATTTTATTGGCTGTCCCGTACCATATGGGCTCTCGTGAATTTGTGTGGATGTCCAAGCCCACACGACCCACAACCCTATCCATACCCCTCACAAACCGCTACCCCTAGCTACCCATTCATTTCAAGGCTGTGTACACTGGTGATATGGTTACCCCTCAGGTGAACAGATTGGGGAAGAGGCCTATGCAGACCCTAGATGTACACTCAGTGTTATTTGGGTAGCAAATTCCATGGTCCTAGGTTTCCAGAGTGTGATGCAGAAGGTGGGGAGAGTTAGTGCCATGTGGAGCGGTGACTGGGGGAGGGCCAGAACAGAGCCCAAAGCAGAAGCCCCTCTTGCAGAGATAAGGGTAGTCTGTTATACACATACACATAAATGTACATGCATTAGGTCGGTCAGACAAATGGTCATCCACCCTATCAAATTCGGAAAATTATTTTGAGCCATTTCGAACCAGTGCTTTAAAATATGGTGTAAAAGTTGATGGGTGAACAAATTAACACCAGCTATAAACAATACAAATGCAAAACCACATCTGAAAATGATGAACAGAATAAGCAAACCAATGAATTTAATGACAAAACAAGCTTTGAATATCTTGCTTAGGCAACTTTTGGATAATTATTTTTAGAACTTAGCTCAAATGGAGCAAAAACGCACAACTGATTTTATTTTTTTTAATTTAGATACTACTCATCTTGATAAATGTAACCATCATGTTATATCTAAGGGGCTAAACATATTCAGGTCATATACACTTAAAGCTAACTGCCCAATGATTTCAAATGCTTCCATAACATTTTGAGTTTAGTAGAAGTATGAGCTTGGGTTCAAATCCTGCCCTTATTTATTAGCTAGGTGGTTTTCAAGCCATTCAGTTAACCTCTCTAATCTGTGATATCCTCATGGATAAATAAGAATGCTCCTTCTTTAGAGTGCTAAAATAAGTACTCAAAATTTCAATTAGCAAAATATTTAATAAGGAAAGCAAAATTAGTGGTTATAACTACTAATATTAATAATCAAGTGGCAAACAGCCCCCTGGCTGACTGGTCTTCCAGCAAGTGGACCTCTCAGCTAATGGTCAGCATCGGAGACTGAGAAGCTGCACTGGCATAGGACAGAGTACACGTCTCCCAGGGCACCTGAAAACACACACCCAAAAGCTACTGGTTTGCTGGTTTCACACCACGATCTGTCGGGCCCCGCGTTTCCGTGGAAATGTCTCAGTGGTCATGAGGAAGAGGGAAACCCAGTATCTGAACCCACAAGTACAATATGTCAGACAGTACAGTCAGGTCTGGCTCTGCTCAAGGCATGTTCACTAGGTGTGGGGGAAAGCATGGGTTCAAACGAGAGCTGTAGGTATCCCACTCCTTAGCCCTCCTGAACTGGCTCTGGTGGATAATCTGATGAGAGTCCTGCTGAAATGGCACAAGAGGGGAGGAAGAAAAACACCACCTGACCATCAAGTCAAGTTTGACTTTGGAAAAAGCTTAGACTTTAGAGGCCTCAAGGGAGGGGCCAGTTTTATGCTCCTCCCCTTTACATGAACTATTTTATATTGTATCCATGTAGATTTTAGATTCTATAAACTTTTCTCATTTCCCTTTTCCCTCCATTGACAATCAGTCCCTAATTCTGTTGAGAAGGGTAACTAACAGCCTTGCTTTACCTTCATATTTCCTGCTAGTGATGTAAAAATTTGACCCAAAAATATAGCACTAGTATTATTTAAATGAAGCGAGTAAAGCCTCACGGATTCATTGCAACTACTGAAAAGTGATGAGAAATTAGTGAATAGGCTGAATTGTTCAAAACAGTTTAAGAAAAGCAGCTTCATTATTTTCTAGTACACAGAGCAACACACATAAGATGATTTTTCTAAGTATATACTTAATGAATAGATAGAAATGGTCTGAAATTTTCTTGGATAAAATGTTTCTATTCAGATGCCTAATTCTAAATGCTTGCAAACAGTTCACAGATGCATGCTTTATCTTTTCTTTAAAAAATAAATCATTCTAAGCTTATTTTTAAGTCATTTTCAGAAGGCCATCATTTGTGTATTAATTTACTTACCCTTTTTCTCATAACTAGAAAAATGTCTTTTTGGCTCATTCGCTCTTCAATTATTTTAAATTATGAATACATGTGAAATTGAATAGAGGTTTCAATGTATTTGTAAGCCATTATTTCTCCTTGCTTATAAGCTAGCGATTATGACATCTTTCCAAAAACTTTCCTAGCATAGACTAAATCAAAGTACTAATAAATACGTACTTACATGGTATATATGAGGCCATGGTTATAAGAAGAAAATAATAGTAGTCAAAAGAGACATTGTATTTATTAGGCAGTCTTATTGAAAACATTCCCGTTTTCTTCACATATGGTAGGGCAGCATATATCGTGAGAAGTTCACCAGCAACTCCGACAGGATATAAGATGATAAAAAAATTATATCTGGAAAAAGAAAAACCTCATTGAATTATTTTTCTAGAATAAGTATCGGATTTTATATTATGATTCTTTTGCTACTACTATGTTTCAACTTAAAAATTCTCTTTCCTATACATAATTACAATAACCTCACATAAAAAGGTTAATATTTTTGTATTTTAATCATGTTTATTAATTTATCATCCTTTTTTTTCATAGCAGTTTCCATTTTAACTGGCAAGATCCATAATAAAATAAGAAGTCAACTTACTTTGCAGTACTGCAATAATTATACACATTTAAAAAATATATATGCAGTTTATTTATTATTTTTAATAATGTAAATATTGTATTATAAAGCATATGTAAGTACTGTAAGGTATTGTAAAGGTAACTTCTTTGACACCTGAATTATAACTGATTCTTTTTCCCTAGTGATGGTCATTTACTGTTCAAATGCTGTAAAAGACCAGTTATGATCCTAATTTCATATCTAAATCTTGAAATTACCAAAGTAAGTTCTTTGGAGGCATTTAGAAAACCCTAAGTGGCCACTAACTAAAAGAGAATTAGTATTTCAGAAAACTGACACTACTACCTAAAGCATCACTAACTACTAATGAAGATATTGTCTGAAACTGCTTTCATATCAAAACAAGACAAGTTGTTTCCTGAATTTCCACATGTACACAATCATTTGGCTTGCTTAAAATAGCACTGAGAAAGTTCTATCCAAAATCCAAAATCACAATTTGTCCATTTGGATGGTGGCAAGTTCTCTGACACGGAGCAGGTCAGGAATCATGTAAGCCACAGGCTGCCAGTGTCTGGTTGTCTCCAGCAGCAGGAGCCCTGAGGGCCCAAGGAAATGACCCTTGTCCATTAAAAGACAAAAAAAAACAAACACAAAAAACGATTTTTCTCTAAGTCAGTCACTGTGTAACAGAAAACTAAGGTAAACATTTTGGTGGAAAAAGAAAAGAATCCGTATTTTGTTTAACCATTTTGTTGCCATTAAGAAATATTTATAAAGTCAAATTTGTCAATACGGCAGAAGCTTGGAGACAACTGAAAAATCACTTGACTCCTCTATGCCAATGATATACAAGGATAAGAAGAGATAGTGGAAGGGGACAGAGTTATTTGCCAAAATAGATTAACTGGCAAAGAAAGAAAAATGATTCATTTTACTGTCCCAGTTTATCCCCTCTTTTTCTTCAGTATAGCACCTGCTTTCTTACCAGTCTTGTGTAGTGATTTGTGTATCATTTAAATCAACCTTTTACTATCTCAATTTAAAATCAAATAACTGAACATATTATATTCCCTTCCCATATAAAATATTCAAACTTATTTAAGGCTTTTTTTTTTTTTTTTTACTTTGTGACTCTCAGATTTGGGGGGAGGTAGTATTGTTCTTTAATAGAAAAAAATCACTTCTAGAATACACTAGTTTAAAGCCTTAAAGACAGTGATTAATTTTAATAAATTGGAAGAAATTATGTAATTGATTTTACTTTATTTTCATTTTAAAAAGACTGCGTGTCACCAGCTCTCTAAGTTCTAATGACTACATGCGAGATTTCAGTATCTATTCAGAAAACAATATAATGCTTCGTTAAAGATACCTAATTGTCACCTAAAATTTTTTGAAGGGAATGCATTTTTGAAATTAAAAAGAAAATCAATATGAAAACATAACAATATACAATTATTTACTCGGTGGACTGTCCTAGGAACACTTCTAACCATAAACAGAATCAAATTATATTCTAACCGTCACAGTAGGCCAGCTATTTATAAATAAAAAGTCATGTCTAAAGTAAAGTTTTATTTGAGAATAGCTTCAAAATTTGAACATAACTACAATTATGATTTTAGGCTATTTTTTAATGGGATTGGCAAATATATAGAGATGGTTGGGCATTTTAAGATTTTTGACACAAAATATAATTATTCATGATGATGATGAACTGACATGACGTATTATGCTAATGTTCATCTCAAAGTTGAAAGATTTTATACTGCCTTGTTTCACATTAAGGCAACTGACAACGGATTTCTAAACAGCAAATTTAAACATGCAATGGCAGAGTGGTGAACTTTTCCAGAAATTCAAGGCATGCAAATGCATTTCAAAAGGCAGACAGACAAAGCATTTAAAGACCATTTATCTTCTGCAAACAAATTATATGAATACAGCAAATGAAAAGAGACTATAGCATGAAATTAGTATTTTTAAAAGCACTCGGGGCCTGGAAGACAGGTCACACAAAATAGCACTGACACACATTCTAGGATTAGAGTCCAGCTACCTTCTAAACTGTCAACCTTGTGAAAGCCCCAATTGCTAAAAGTAAGTTTTCAGGTACAATAAGAATAAAATGAATCAAATACGTATCAATGGTAGGGCAACCTTCTTAAAACAAGAATATGCTTCAGCTAAAATTATAATTTTAAAGCATTTTATTAGATACAAAATGAGAAGCCACAAATGTCTGAAAAGGAGCTAGAAAACATAAAGAAGTCTGAAAAAATACATAACAGCTGCTCAAAGAATTCAAACTATAAAAAGAACATCTTTTGCTTTAAAATTTGTTTTAGGGTAGATATACGAGGTCTGGCAATTAAGTTTGTGAACTTGTTGCAACAGTGTTGCTAATTTTTTATATCAGAAGGATTATTCATTATGAATTTATACCAACTGGACAGTTAATCAAGTTTACTATTTGAAAGTGCTGAAAAGGCTGCATGAAAACAGTTAGATGACCTGAACTTTTTGCCAGCAATTCATGGCTCTTGCATCATGACAATGCACCAGCTCACACGGCACTGTCTGTGAGGGAGTTTTTAGCCAGTAAACAAATAACTGTATTGGAACACCCTCCCTATTCACTTGATCTGGCCCCCAATGACTTCTTTCTTTACCAAAGATAAAGGAAATATTGAAAGGAAGACATTTTGATGACATTCAGGACATAAAGGGTAATACGACAAGAGCGCTGATGGCCATTCCAGAAAAAAAATGCCAGAGTTGCTTTGAAGGGTGGACTAGGCACTGGCATCGGTGCATAGCTTCCCAAGGGGAGTACTTCAAAGGTGACTGTTGTGATATTCAGCAATGAGGTATGTAGCACTTTTTCTAGGATGAATTTGAGAACTTAATTGTCTGACCTTGTATTTAGAATCTTTGCAATATAAATTTTGTCCCTATTCTAAATATCGAAATTTCAAGTAAGTGCGACTTTTAAAAATGTCTGTCTCTGCTACTAAAACACAAAAAAGTGGACTTTGTATATATCTGTATATAGGTATATCAAAAATTGTGGATGTAATAGATTGAATATTGAAATAATTTAAATCAGACAAAATGCCATCTTTGGGGTACAGAGTATAATATCATTCGAAAAATAAATATTTTGCTTCCAAAAAAAACCACAAATGGCCAATTCAAAGGTTATTTAAGGATAAAATATAATTTGCTTTGTATTGATTTCACTCCCAATATATATTACTAGGAGTCCTCTCGGATCATTAAATGAAGCCTTTATAATGCAAGTTATAACACGGGTAATACCAAAAAACAACAGCACCCTGGCTGGCATCACAAATTTTAAGTCTCTGGTGTTAGCTCAGCAGCAAAACACACATGCACAGGACTGTGAGAAACTAAGCTGCAAGACATCGCCACCTGGCCCATTTAATGAAGTATGGCAAGTGGTCGAGAAGACTGAATGTGTAGAAGGAATAGCGAGTGATCTCAGTCACAGTCCACGCGACCAGAAAAAGCACCACACTCTCCTCATTCTGGATCTGCAGAATGACAGAGAAATCCACAGTGTCGTTTAACCTTAAACTTTTTCCTCCAGGGAGGTATTTTATCTTAATTATTTACTATGTGTCTTTTCTTATAATGGAATGATAGGGTTAGACAGATTCAATAGAGAAAACTTAACGCAGTCACTACATAATTCATTACAAACACGCAACTTAAATATGACCTAAGCAGAGGAATGGCCAAATGTCTACTGGTTTCTCTTCTCTCTCTCACCCTTCACCCCAGCCAGTAACTCAACCATCCTAGAACATAACCACCCCCGCAAGGCCCATGTGGGAACAACCTGACCTTGCGACTTTCTAGTATTTGTTAAATCAGACCCATTCTACTGTAGCACTAACTCCTGAATCTGTCCACTTGTTTTGGGCCCTGCTAGCACCGATTTAATCCAGGGCCTACCGTAAACGTTTTTCATCCAGACTATTGTAAGAGTAACAGCCTCCATAAAACTCTGTCCACTCTATTATCTTCATTGGATGGAAGTTTTCTCTTCAATGCAAAACAAAGACGTAAACAAAAATCGGAAGCAGCTAGCCCTGTGATTCAAAAACTTCCTTGGTTCCCCACTGCTTAACAGGAGGCAAGGATAGGATCCTACCGCCTGAGCATGATGATGATCATGTTCAAGGTTCTTTACAATCCGAGCTCAGAAATCACTCCAACTTGATTGGCAATCACTCAAC